TTTGTGAAAAATTTCCCCTCTTCATTGTCTTTGAATTGTGGGCTAAAAAGTGAGAATGCTTGTAGGTAATGTGTGTCCTGGAATTGCAGTGAATTGGAGTTGGTGTTAGAAAAAATAAATCCCGAACAACTTGTGATTTAGTTTTATAGGCACACATTTATAAATTGGGTTTAGGCAGTAATTCCAGGAAAGCATACACAGGAGAACTGTTTGCTGTATATTCATTTATTCCACAAAGATTTAGTGAGTCCCCATGTTCAGACCTCTGCTAGATCCTGCAGGAAGGGAGAGAAGAGGATTTAAATGATGCTGCTCAGATCTGGCAGGAGGGAAGGTGTCCCCTCACAGGGACGGCTGATGGGTCAGAGAAGGAATAGGGCCTTCTGATGGGCGATCAGGGGAGGCTCCTTAGAAGAGGGCATTTGAGTTGTTTGCTGAGAGACATCTGTTTGTGCTTTTTTGCCTGGTCTGTTTTATGTAACACCCTTGACAACTCTTTTAAAACCTCATTTGATTTTCCAATGCTCTATTATCTACCCCCACCTCCTATCCCTGTATTCCCTGTCAGAAGGTTTTATGATTCCTGTATCTCCTAGGTCCTCTGTTCATTCATTCTTTTTTCTTCTCCCTCAGAGATATTATTTATGTCTGCAGTTGTAAATATTTGCCTGGACAGATAACTCTAAATCCAGAGCTTGAGCCCAAGGTGTCTCAGATCCTCCATCCTACATTTCCAACTCGTCTCACAGGCAGTTCACATTATACTTGTCTGGGTCTGAACTGTCCCCCACAATGCACAGCCTCATTCCATTCCTCTCACCCTTCCCTCCATCCCTTTCTTTCCTTTTCTTCCCCCAAGACTATTGAGCACCCACTATGTGCTAGTTTTCTTCTGGTTCCTCAGGCTGAGAATCTCAGAGTCATTTTTATGTCTCTTTTACCACTTGTGTCCAAATAATCATTTTATTTCTCCTCATTCTTTCCAATACGCCTTAAAATCTTGTTAGTTCTACTCATGCCCATTATCTGTATGTTTGGATCACTGCAGTGGTCTTCTAAATGTTGACCACCTTCTTCTTCCTCCATCATCAGCATCACCATTGCTTATTAAGTGTCTACTATGTTCAGAATGTTACTAGGATGCCCTGTTCTATAGATTGAACAGTCAAATAGTGGGGGAGATAACCCAGACTGAAATGATAATGGAGCCCATCATCAACTCCAAGGTGATAAGCCCAGTGGATTGAGGTGGTAAGTCAGCAGGCAGAGTGAGATTGGGGGTAGCTGGAGGAAGTAGAACTCATGGTCTGGGAAGATGAGTACTTAGGCATTTGGAGAAGGGATTATTGTTTTTTGGCAGATGGTGGCCCTGTGGTATATGTGAGGGGTAGGCGTCCACCTGGTGTGGTAGATCTGTGAGTTGAATAGTTCCCCTGTAGACAGTGATGGGCTTAGTATGCCAACAGGAGAAATCTGAACTCCGTTGTATGGAAATGATGGTATAGGAAGGAAACTGACAAAATTGGGGAGGCGGTGATGTATGAAAAATGCTGTTTTAAGGAAAATCTGGAGGTGTTATGTGGGATGTCTTTGAGGGAAAGGAAGACCAGTGAGGAGACCTTGAAGTCTGCTGTCACATTTTGTTTCTTTTTTCAAATTCATTCAAACATGGGGGCTGCCAGTACACTTCTAAGTCACATCTCTGATCATATCACCCTCTCCTGCTCAAATACCCTTGGTGATTCCCTGTGCCTTGGACAGTGGTTCTTTCCCTCCCAGAATGATCTCCCTCTTCCCCTTTAGGAACCAAACGTTGGCTTTCACAAAAGTGCTTCATTTTCTCCATTGCTTGGGGAATTCTAATAATTGAAATTTCATGCAGCCTTCAACAGATTCATAATACCTTTCTTGGCTCTCTCAGCTGAAAGTGCTCTCACCACCCGCCCCCAAACTTCCCTAATATTTCCTGTCTGTATTGTTCATTTGGATTAGTCAGTAATTGGCATGATTTCTTCTGTAGCTGCTGAAGTTGTTGATTAGTGTGCGTATTGTTGTGTGGTTTTGTTTTGTCTCTCCTGTAGCCTTCTTACAGATTGGCACCGTGCTGGATACTTTTGTAAGTGGCTACCGCATCTAGTACTGCTCCGCATTCGTGGTATTTTGAACATGATAATATTCGCTGACTTTTGATTTTATTTTAAGCTGCCAAACAACCAGGCAGATCATGCAAGATGCTCGGGACCCAGGGGGATACCACATTTGGAGATCCCAGCTTTCACCAGGGTGGTAGGTAGATTCAGGAAGAGCTTTTTGTTTTGTTAATCCTCACCTGAGGATATTTTCCCATTAATTTATTGTAGAGAGAGTGGAAGGGACAGGGAGAGAGAGAAGGAGAGAAACATGTGTCCTGTGAGAGAGACACTTCTAACATGCTGGGGATCTAGCCTGCAACCGAGGTACGTGCCCTTGACCGGAATCAAACCCAGGACCCTTCAGTGCGTAGGCCGATGCTCTTTCCACTGAGCCACAGCAGCTAGGGCACAGGAAGAACTTTTGTTTCTTCTAGTCTCCTTGTCCCCTTCTATGGGATGGGTTTCCCATAACCACAGGAGAAACTTATGTTGGACAGTGCGTCCCCAGCTCCTCTTACAAAGGGGACCCACTAGTCTAGTTTGTTTCTTCCGTCTTAACGGTCCCCGAAAACCAGGATACAATGTCAGCTAAGTGAAAACTTCTTGATCCCAACTATCCAGAAAAAAGTTAGAAATGGATGCTTATACTCTTTGCTGTTAAGGAGGTCAAAAGACCACAGAAACAATTAGCATTATATGGATCAGAGAAGTAATTGCAAGCATAGGTTAGCTGGCACATGTTGGCAGGGGAATAAAGCACTTGGTTTTCAGATAAAGGCGATGTATCCCGAGGATTCTAGGTTCATTTTCTTCCCAGTTCCAGGACTGGTGGGCATTAGAGGTCATGGCTAAGTGAGGTGTGGGGTGGGTTTAAGCTGCCTGGGGGAGCCTAGTGCACCCATTCTCCAGTAATGTTAAACTTCATTCATTTATAAGGGGTGATAGATCATTCGGACTCTAAGTTGGCTGAATCTTCCCAGTGTGTTATGCAAAGAAAGAGACAAAAATTAATAAGCTAAGTGAATGTTCAAAAGAGCAAACAGCTTGAAGCTCTCTCAGCTACTGTAGAAGCATTTACTTATGAGGAAACAGCTGACCTGCTAATCAGAAAACATCCTTCCCTATTCATTAAGCTAATTATCCTAAGGAAATCTACTGGCAACACTTCGTCTAGCTCTAATTATTGTGTGCCCTTGAAAGCAATAAACTGCACTTTTAGAATAAAATTTTACACCCTAGACATATATATGGTTTACTCAGACATTTTCAGTAATTAGAGTGGGGCGGTAATGAGGGGTTTCACTTTGTTTTTTTATGAAAAAGGTTTATCACTTCTTCATAAAGAGATTATAATGAATTCTTAAATAATATATGATTAGATCTGAGAAGTCTTTGGAGATCATTATTGTTTAAATATGAGGTTTTTTTTAAAGGTCATCTTTTTGAATTACCTTGGCTTTTAAATAATTTTTATTTTAGAGAATGAACATCATATTGTGATTTAAGACAGTGGTAAAACTTATCTGTCATAAACCGAGACATCATGTTCCAACAGAACCCTTCATTCATGAAGTCACTTTAACCTGCACCCCCATTTTACCTGCAGAGCTCTCTCTAACCTCAGCCAGAACACTGCTTAGAAAGATAGTGAAAAGCTCCTCCTATATATGCATGGTCTGCAGAGAACAGCAATTAATGAGTGAGCTCACGTAAAACCAGTCGACTGTCGAGGAGCACGGGCTGGCTCGGACCAGTCTCTGGACGGGGCCACGTGCTCCCATCTTAGGAGTGTGCCCTTCAGTTCCTGGGTCCAGAGCTTCCAGGCAGCACTGTGGCGTGGGCCTTTCCCAGGTGATCTTGGACAGGTTACCCGAGCTCTGTGCTGTGGTCCTCTTATTTGTAACTGGGGCCACCAGTAGCTCCCACCTCCAAGGGCTGTTGTGAGTATTCAGTGAGTTACTCCATGTAAAGTGCTCTTACATAGCAGTTCATAGTGATTCCATAGTAATTCACTCACCCATCCATTTATTCACTTATTCATTCAGCCCCCTTCTCCTGTGCCCTCACCATGTTTTGGGCCCTGCTGTGAAGACTGGCATTAGAGGCACAGTAGTCAGACCAGGTCCCTGTCCTATAGGAGCCCATAGTCTAGGGGGCAGAGACAGATCATAAATAAGTAAACTAGTTAAACAAGCCCAGATACTAATAAGTGTTAACAAGACAATGGGTAGGGAAATACAGTGACTGCGTTATGGGAAGAGATATCAACATTAGCTTTGATAGGCTGGCATGGCTTCTGAGGAGGTGACATTTGAGCTGAAAGGCCTGAATGATGAGATAAATGTCAGCTGTCATTAAAATAAAGATTTCCTTTGTGTTGGTGGCTCTCTCCATATTCTTTCTTTTGTCAATTTTGTGTATGTTTTTTAAAACTTATTTATTAAATCTTTATTGTTGAAAGTATTACATACGTCCCCCATTGATCCCTTCTAGCTCCTCCCCCCTCGTCCGTCCCCTCACCCCCCAAGCCTTCACCATCCTATTCTCTGTGTCCATGGGTTATGCACATATGCATACAAGTTCTTTGGCTGATCTCTTCCCACCCACCTACCCTCCCCTACCTTCCCCCAGAGATTCAACAGTCTGTTCCATGCTTCTATGTCTCTGGATCTGTTTTGCTCATTAGTTTATTTTGTTCATTAGATTCCACATAGGTCTCTCCATATTATTTTAAAATCTCAACATCAATGTACAGTCCTTTCCAGCAGGATACCACTAGGCAATTGTGAGTCCCTCTCCCACCAGCATAGGACTGTCTTCCAACAAGTCATTGTAACTGTAACATCTTGGAGCTCACTTCCCCCACCTTCATCTCGGCACTACCCAGATCTGCCCACCCTGGGGTCTCTCTCCCTTGCCTCCAGCTGGGTGCTCGTCTGCCTTTTCATGCCTCAGTTTTTGGAAGAGCCTGACTCTGTTGTTCCCAACCGACAGAAAGTACAGGACCGGGTTAAGGCAGCTGCTCATGCTCACCAGAGGCCTCCACACCTTGTAGGCCACGCTGCCCACCGTCAGGAGCTGGCAGTCCTGGGAAGCCAGGAAGCGGAGTGTGATGTAGAAGGAGCGAGAGACGTGGAAGGGCACAAAGCAGAGGGCGAAGAGGCTGCACACCAACAGGATGGTCCGGATGGACTTGGCCCGGGTGGTGTTCCCCGTCCTCTCGAGGGTCTCCTCTGGCGTGGCCAGGCTCCGGACCATCAGCGAGTAGCACACCAAGATGACCAAGGAGGGCATGACAAAGCCGGACAACGTCAGAACCATACTGTAGGCAAAAAACCGATCGAAGTTCTCCGGACTGGTCATGTCGTAGCAGACCATCTGGCCGCCGATGTAGGCCGTGTGGGAGAAGCCCAGCGTGGGCAGCAGCTGGAGGACCACCAGGGCCCAGGTGGCAGCTACACCCAGCAGGGCGTGCCGGCGGGTCCGGTAAGGCAGCGACCTCAGGGGGTGGCACACGCCCAGGAAGCGGTGCACAGAGATGCAGGTCAGCAGCAGGATGCTGCCGTAGAGGTTGGTGTAGAACAGGAAGCGCACCAGCCTGCAGAGCAGTTCCCCAAAGGGCCACCAGTCGCCCAGGGAGTAGGCAATGATGAGGAAGGGCAGAGTCAGCACGTACAGCAGGTCGGCCACCATCAGGTTCACCAGGTAGATGGTGGCACAGCTCCAGCGCTTGGTTTGGCGCCAGGAGAGCCACAGGACGCTGCCGTTCAGGGGCAGCCCTAGCAGGAAGATGATGCTGTAGGTCAGGGGGAGGTAGATTTGCTTGTAGTCCTCCGAGAGCTGGCAGAATCCCTGTTCCTCTGAGACATTCGTATCCAGCTTCTCCATCTCCTGGGAGGCTCCTTCTGGGAGCCCAGCTGCTCCTGCTGCTCCTGTTGCCTCTGGGGGGAAGCAAAAGGGACCACAGCCCTAGCCAGTTTAGCTCGGTGGATAGAGCATCGGCCTGTGAACTGAAAGGTCCCAGGTTCGATTCTGGTCAAGATTGTGAGCTCGACCCTTAGTGGAGGGCTTGCAGGAGGCAGCCGATCAGTGATTCTCTCATCATGGATGTTTCCATCTCTCTCCCTCTTCCTTCCTCTCTGAAATCAATTAAAAAAATTTTTTAAAAAGATGGATTTAAAAAAAAGGGGGGGGGGGACTGCAGAGCATAATGACCTTGGCTGGATCAGCCTCTACCTGGATCTGGCAGCTCTGTACCATACATGTGGTTCCACTCCGAAGTGTGGTCAGAGTTCTACGTTGAGAGAGACCAGCTCCAGGGGGGTGGGGGAAAAAAATTAAACTCGTGTCTTCAACACGAGGGCTTCTAGGCTTACCAGGTCCCAGGGCTGGCCCTGCACTGGCTTGTATGCTCTCCGCTGCGGGCTGGGTTGTGCTAGGAAGCTCAGGTGCACATGGTAGCCCGTAGGTGCTCCTGCATTTAAACAGGGCACACAGCCTCCAGCCATGGCTCCTCCCCTGGCGAGAATCCTTTGCATAGAGTCAGGAAATCTCCCAGGGGAGATCTCCCAGGCTCGCATTCTCAGGGGGCGATGCTGCCCTCCATCTGGTCCTAAGCCCACTTGCCATGGTGGAAAAGACGGTGATCCTTAGGGGTTAAGGGGGATTAGGGAAAGCACAGGTTTTGCCTACAGGCGCTGCTGGAAGATTTGGATTTGTATCTCTTTCAGGATTTATTAACTGCGTATTTGAATATGGAGACTGATTTGCCTATTAACCACCTCAGCACCCTGAACAGCCAAGAAAACAAGCCTGAGCCATGAAGCCAGGTGCGGCTTCTTCCTTACTCCCATCCCTGCAGACAGAGCAGATCCAATGGGCAGAGCCACCAGCCGAGGAAGCTGTGTGTAGGGCCCGCAGATTTGGTCCCATTGGTAAGTCAGTGGGTCGGTCAGCCAATCAACATGGAGTCTACAGGGATGGAAAGACGTTCATTTCTAGGACTTAACATTCAGAAAGATGAATGAATACAGGGCAAGAGAGAAAAAATTAAGATAGGTAATTTCAGATACATTGAAGGTTGATTGTGAACTTAAAATATATAGAACTTCATTCAGAATAAAAAGAAGGGAGACCTCATTCATTCAGTCAGTCAACAAACATTTATTGAGCATCTACTGAGTCAGGCACTGGGACTACAAAGATGAATAAAACAGCCCTTGTGCTCCAGGATCTCGCAGTCTGGCAGGGAAGACAGAGCCCAGAAGCTAACGGTCAGACAGTGTGGAAAATGGTCCAAATGCTGTGAAAACTGGCAGGATGTGGTAGTTCTCCCCTGAGAGGGTGGCGTGGAGGCTTCCTAGATCAGGCGCCCTGTGAGCTGCTCAGCTGCTTGGGAGAACAAAGAGGAGGCAGAGAGGGTCGGGCGTTCCTGGGTAGGCAGCGCCTGTAAGGAGCTGGCAGGAGGGCTCAGTGTCCTGGGATGGCAGGAGAGCCAGCGTGGAGCATGAAACTCAAAGATGCCACCGTAAGGAGGGGCCTATCCTTAAGTAGGACGGCGATGGGATAGGCTCTGCTTGAGGGAGATGACCTGCGGCAGCAGCACGGGATGGGCCTGGAGCCGTGAGACTCTAAGGGCGGGGCATGTGCATGAGAGATGCTCAGGACCCCAGGTGAAGCCGTGCAGGGTGGACAGAGAGGAGGACCTGACCCTAGAGACGCTGCTGAGGCAGGAGCGACAGGATGGATTGGACATGGGCATGAGCCTGAGGAGGGGTCGGGGGTGTCCCTGAGGCTGGGTGGGGAGTGAGGCCCGTGCCTGGGCTGAAGCCTGAAGCTTGAAGGCTGGGACTGTTGTTCCCAGGCTGTGGGCCGTGGCTCCCTGCTGCAGCCTGCCAAGGAACGGACAGCTCGCCCACTGGCTTTAGAATCCACCCCGCTGGGAGGGCAGGACTTTTTGGCTGGTGAGTAAAAGGAATGGAGTTTTCATTCATTTTGTTCCCTGTAATCTTGCATGTGGGAGGCTGGCAGGTGCTTAGTTATTTCAGGTCTGGGAGGGCTCTTAGAGGGAAGCCAGGAGGGAAGCAGCCTGGTGGAGCCCTGGCTCGGCCAGCAGTTCACACCCGTGCTCCTATTTATCTCAGAACAGCCTTGCGAGGAAGCATTAGTGTCCCGTTTCACGGAGGAGGGTCAGAGAAGACACGCCCGTAGGCTCACAGCGTCCTCTACTCCAGTGGGCTGTCTCCTGCCGGGCATCCTGTGTCCGCCCCTCACGTCCTGCTGTGGGTGGTCCAAAGCACTCAAGTCCCACTCTGCCAGGACCACAAGGACCATCTGAAACAGATCACCTTGTCTCAGCCAGGGACTCCTCAGCTGTAGAATGGGACGTCTCTCTGGTGAGGTTGCTCCGAGAATCAGTGAGGAGAGGCTCAGGCACCACAATGAGAAAGCCAACACATGCTGTACCCCCACCCCACCCCGGCCACCCCACCTTTCTCCTTGTTGTCCTAGAGACTGTGGTGCCAGGGAACCAGCGCTCTTTGGCTTATGTCAGAAGATGGGAGATCAGGTCTGGCTTCGCTACTCAAAAGCTGGGTAAGGTCACTTTTCTTCCTGGTTATTACCTTCTGCTGTGATCGGAACTGTGTCCACTACAACATCAGAGGTGGAACGCCTAGCCCCCAGTGTGCATTTGGAGTAAGGAAGTAATTGAGGTTAAAAGAGGTCATAAGAATGGGTCCCAATCAGATAGAATTAGCTTCTTTATAATAAAAGACAGTACCCAGTGTGGAGGGACAGCTTTTTATGTGAGAGGATGACCTTTCTTAGTCAGGGCATGAGTGTAAAAGAACTACACAGTGTCCAGACTAGTGCATCATTGAAGTTATTATGGAGAAAGGAAGAGTGGCCTGCAAGCCAGGAACTAAACCCTACAGTCCCTGATCTTACACTTCCTAGTCTCCAGGACTGTGAGAAGTTCATTATCTGTTGGTTAAGCCACCCAGCCAGTAGTATTTTGTTACAGCAGCTTGCAGACCAAGATACATTCCACACACTTGGAGGCCTACCCAGTGTGGAGGGACAGCTTTTTATGTGAGATTATGACCTTTCTTAGTCAGGGCATGAGTGTTAAAGGACTACACAGTGTTCAGACTAGTGCATTATTGAAGTTATTATGGAGAAAGGAAGAGGGAGACAACCTCAGGTCATAAAGTGTTAATTTACCCGCCAAAAGCTGTGACAATGTTGACCTGCTGGAAGGTCCCTTCTCTGGCCTCTGTCCTCCCAGACTTCTCTCCTGCCTCCCTAGAGGCATTCATTGGGATGAAGAAGTGGAGGCTATGTAGCTATTCATAGAACCAAGGAAAAGACCCAGAGTGAAGGAGAGGCCAGCTGGGGGTTAGAGAGGAGAGAATTTGGGGGACAGTGGCCATGGAGGATGGGATTCTAAGGAGAAGAGATGCGTACACTTCTAGAAAGTGAGTGTGTACTGCAGAATGCAATTTCCCCTCTTTATCACCATTTCTTCAAGAGCTTTAAAATAGACAGACACAAATTAGAGTTGGAATTTGTTTCTTTTAAATGAGCTCACTGGGGAGGGGCCTTGAGAACAGAATGAAGCGAGAATCCAGACCAACTCTGGTTTAAATGGGCACTATGGCTTCTGACCTTGGACCCAGTGTTCTTCCCACTGTGCGGCCCCAAGAGCCTGGTTCTGTTTCTGGCCCCTGCTAAACAGCAAATCCTCCTGGGAGCAGCCTTGGTCCCTGAGTACCACGGTGGACCTCTTCCAAAGGGGACAAGAGGTCTTTGTCGCTTTAATGGTCTGAAATAGTTATCACTACTCAGAGAAATGACATAGCTAAGATGAAAGCATGCTTAAATATATGAATTTCCTTTTAATATTAAATATTTAACTTGCATCTGGAGACCTTTTGTGAACAACTAAGCTATTTAATGGACAGTAAGAATTCATTTTTAGAAGTTATTCTGAAAAACTGTTGATTCATGTATGCGTTTCTTAATTTACAAAGATAAATTAGGGATTTATTGTTCATACCACAATTTAATTATTTGATTTTCAACAAGCTTTTAAAAATGGGGGCCCCAAATACATTTAATCAAGTGGTAGATTTAAGTAGTCTGAATTATTTTGAATTACCCTCCCCAAGTCTTTCAAATCCACTGGATAACTTGGTGTTATTTGGCCAACAGACCACTGGATGGCGTTTAGATTTAAGTAGTCTGAATTATTTTGAATTACTCTCCCCAAGTCTTTCAAATCCCCTGGATAACTTGGTGTTGTTTGGCCAACAGACCACTGGAGGGCGTGGAAGACCGACAGACAGATTGCAGTGTTCTCCTGCAGATGGAAGAAGGAATGGGGCCCAAGTTCAGGAATAGCAGCCGTGGGTGAGATATGATTCGTTGAGAACATAGAGAAATTCCACCAACACACCACCTCCTCTGGGTCTTTTGTCTACAGTTACAGTTCAGTTTGCACAATGAATTGGTATTACAGTTAGTGAAAGCAATCTGTTACTGTGATTGATTTTCCAAAGGATCCTGTGAGATAAGCATGGCAGGCATTCTCCCATTTTACAGCTAAGCAAACCGAGGTTCAGAGAGGTTCTGTGGAAGTTCTGTATGCTATGATCTGGGGAAAACCTGGGATGGAAGAAAAATTATATATATATTGATTTCAAAGAGGAAGGGAGAGGGAGAGAGGAATATCAATGATGAGAGAGAATCATTGAACGGCTGCCTCCTACACACCTCTTACTGGGGATCAAGCCTGCAATCCCGGCATGTGCCCTGGTTCATAGGTAATGCTCAACCACTGAGCCACACTGGCAGGGCTCAGTGGTTCAGCCAAGCCTGAACTACTTTTACAAAGTAGAGAGACTCAGCAAATTCCCAGATTCATCTGATATAATGAAAGGCTAATATGCA